GCAGCCTTTCCCATTTTATTTCATAATCAAATTTAACCAGTTAGGTAATAAAGCTGGTTTAATACAAAAATAAATTTAGTATTTCTGAAACCCCCCCCCCATAAGCTGTTCTTTTGGGGAATTCTTACCAGATACAAAATATTTTGTGTCTTTGACTAGATACAAAGAATTTTTTCCCATAGATGTTGCATAGACCTCATATCATTCAGATGAACATTTAGATCAGGAAAGAAAATTGCCTTGTCCTATGTGCGACCTTCAGAGCAATTCAAATTCCTTCACCGGCTCTTCTCACCACCCACTGGGGACCATCCCCACCCCCAGGTGCTTGGACCTGGATTGCTCTTCATCCCAGACTGAATAAAACTTGCTCTGCAATTCCTTGCCTCTTTAAAGAGGACTCCAGGAAATGACCAGGTGTCCTTATGAAAAAGTAGTTCTGAGTCGTTTTCAGTTTGAAATATGTACTCCCTAGTAAGTCATCGTCTTCTTCAGAAAGCATCAGAAGCACATTACATACTGTGCCAACAGAATGATGGCTGGGAAATTCCCATTAACGTCAGGGTGATCCTCAGTGGCAGGGTCAGTCACAAAACAAGAAAATCACCCTCAGCACCACTGGTCAACCTGGCAGAATGAAAACTCTGAGTTCCATACTGTGCGTAACAGCTGGCAGGCGTGGCGTTTATCCCTCTTTCTAGAACACCTGAAATTCAGGAAAAAGTGTGGAAAAAATTATGACCCAATTTTATTGAAAGCTACATCAGTTTTGCGTATTGCTTTCATCGATTGCTAGGTTTAGACTGAGATCCCTATAACAGAAGACAGTTTAACAAGAGAAAACTTCGTTAAATATAAGCTTTACATGACTTGGGAGGCTTTGGAAAGAAAGATCTAAGGAAATAGGTGCACATGTATATTTCCATGGACCAAAATGTAGGACTGTGACCCCACAGAGGGGTGCACCAAGGCTTGGTTGCTCAGAATCTGCCCTGTGAAGCGTCACTCTCCTCTGAAAATAGGAAGGACTCTAGGACCCCTCTAGAACAAGAGTTTTATTACCTGCTTCACAGAGAAACTCAGCTAGATTTTACTCAGCCTGCTTGGGGGAGGAGAGGCACAGAAGCTTTTCCAGCTTCTACCGTGCTGTGTTTTGGGGAGCACGCCTGGCAACCTTAGGAGCTTTCAGATCTGTGTCAGCAATCTCTGTTAGCTGCCAGAAGTCCAGAAAACAGATGCGTCTAAATGATTTGTCTCAACACACAGAATGCAGGAACACAGACTCCGGACTCGGTTTCTTTAATTCAGAATACGCCTACCCCCTGGTTTAAAGTAAACGAGTCCTTTCAATTAGAGTCAGATCTTTGTTTTCCTGTGTAAGAAAATCTGGGTCTTTGTGTTGGATTTATTTAAAGCAGGATGAGCTTCAGAATCCCAGCATTCATCATATCTTTATTCTTTAATTGAACAGAAAATAAAGACTTGCTTTAAAGAGTTCAGGTTCTGTCCCAATATTTACCATTTTAAAAACAATTCCACTAGTCTGAAATTTCTTTAAAATCTTAGAACACAGTTGCTAATTCAACTTTAATCCACCAGTCTAATCCCGAACACATGACTGGCTAAGCTAATGGTTCTGCATTATTTGTCATTTGAGATTAGCCTTTAACAAAGAAACCATCTATTACGCCAACACATAAACTGAGTATCAGGACTCACATCCTTCCTTGAATATGTATTCTGCAGATATAGAGCCTATGGTTCCAAATCCAATCTTGCCAAGCATACACCTCTAATCCCAGCACTCTGAGAGACTGAGGCAGGATTGCTGGGTCCATACCAGCCTGGGCAATGCAAGACCCTGTCAAAAATAAAAAAAAAAAAAGCTATAGATATAATTCACTGTGAGTACCCTAGGTTTGATCCGTAATATGACCCCAGAAAATCCAATCTCAGTTATCAACTATCTCATAGTTATTTTGGTACTCATTAAAATGGTTTCAGTTCATTCATTTGGAAACAGAGAAGCTGCCTTGTAAACCCGGTACCAGCAACTAAAGATGGATACTTACTGGGTCCCTAAAGCTACTCAGGTGAGGGTGCTAGACAGCAGAGAAAGACTGGTTGACTGGTTTAGGTCCTCATCGCAGTGATGATGGTAATCCTGCAGGTATTTCCTAGGTGACAGTTTTAGAATTGGCACCACTTCAGGCAGCAAGGAACAATGAAAGGAGAGACTCAGGTCCAACCTGTCTCTGCAGTTTGAGGCAAGTCACTTAAGTTTTAGTGTGTATAAATGGGGTAATAATAGTTGACCTTGCATTGCAGAATATTATAAAAAAAAATAATAATTTGAGTTCAAGAGAAAAGCAGCCAGGTGTAGTGAATCATGCCTGTAATCCCAGCACTCAGGAGGCTGAGGCAGGAGGATCCCTGCAAGTTTGAGACTAAACTGGGCTACATAGTAAGTTTCGGGCCAGATGGAACTACACAGCAAACCCTGTCTCTAAATAAATAAATAAAATAAGAGAGTGGGCACACAATATTGAAGTGTAAGGCATTTATATAAATTACTTTTAAAAGCCTTAAAACTCACAGCAACAATAATAAATGTTTATAATATAAATGAGTAAAGCATTTTACTTCAATAAAACTGATTATAGAACTCACTGATTAAGTGGCTATTTGATAGAATGTTGTCTTTCACCGATCCTGTCTAAAGATTCTTAGACATTTAAAAAAAATCTTTTAGACTGATCATTGTAGTATGTGTGTATAGTCCCAGCTACTCAGGAGGCTAAAGCAAGAGAACCCCTTGAGCCCACAAATTCAAGACCAGCCTAGACAAGAAGGAGGGAGAGGCCTGTACTTCGAAAACTAAGACAAAACCTTTGCAGGAATCTCAGCTTACAGTTGAAGTTGCTTCCAGTTAACTGCTTCTGAAGAGCTGCCTCCTCTGTACCTCCAGCAAGGCGACCAAGAGCTGGGTTCCCAAAATAGCAGACTTTTATCATCTGCCATTTTATAGAGCAAAAGGAATGAATGGTTCCAGTGACCACCCATACATGACCATGAGTACTTTCCCATTCTAGGTTATCCTGGCTTCCCTATATTCAGTTTTCGTATTGTCTAAAATTTTGAACATGGATATGCCTAAGTTACTTTAAAGGCAGCCAATTTGATTTTTTTTTTAAAGTATCAGCTGACTAATAATTCTCTGCCTGGTGACAGCCTTTGTAAGAAAGCTTGTGTTTTCTTGCAGGTGGGTGACAGCTAAGCATTCTCTCCCATCTTTTACCCCTCTGCTCTGCCCAGATCTGGGGCCTTTGGTTTCCCACACCACCCCCAGCCTGGGGTGCAGGCTGTGGGAGCCGAGGAGTAGGTGCAGAGTCCAAGGTGAGGAAGGGTTGGTGGGCCTCGGTGGCTGGTGGGAACCAGGCCCTATGAGTTCTTCTCCTAAGGCCTCTGCTAATTTACAGACATTCCTTTCCTTAATTCTGAGTCTAGATTCCAGGCATTCTCTGTCAGAGGTTGCAGGGTAAAGGGTTGTTCACCTTTCACCAGGCCCAGTGGAGCAATCAGCCCCAAGAACAAAAGCTGGCTGTCATTAGTTCCCAGCCTCGGATGAGTCAGCAGCTCCTGCCCCAGGTACTCTAGGCCTGGAGATTTCTTCACCTGTGATTGTTTGGTTCCAGGAAATCAGGACAAGTGCACATACCTAGTTTGGGATCAATTCAGAATTATTTTTTATTTTTATTTTTTTTAGCTCTCTGGCAACAGCAATTATCATTCTCCCCTTCCTCCAAATAACTTGTAAATGTGTTAGGTCTTTGAAACTTTGACATTTGAGTAATTTATTGGAAAAGGGTGGTGGTATGTTCTAATTGTGTTGGGAAAGGGCTGCATTGTTTTATTCTTGGTGTCTTTCATGAGTCTGAAGCCTTAGACAAGAATTAAGCTTTTTGCCCCCTCAGATTTCTAAAAGTAGCAGAAATCTCAGTTAAAATCACAGAACTAGAAATTACCTAGATTTTGGAGAGCTTTGATTATTTGCTTCTGTATGTGCATACAAGTCAGCTTTTAAAAAGAGGGGGAGCAGAAAGAAGGATTAAGGGGGTGCACATGCTGTCCTCTATCCCCCACTTTCTTCAAAGAGGAGTATTTTAAGATGAGTCAGGTCTCAATGGAGACTCTCCTTGGGCTCCAGAGCTGAGCACAAAGGATGCCTCCCACTCTGTCTGCAGGAGAGCTGGCTGGCAGTTCCGCCACCAGATAGAGGGCGAGCCAGGTGACAAATGCTGTCCTTTGTAGGACAGGGCCCTTACACTGTGTCGCCAAACACCTTCCCCCACCGGCCTTCAGTTAATCCCTGTTTTCTTTGACCACATTGCCCTGCTGGCTGTGTATACAAGCTGTCTTATCTAATAGTGTTGAGTCACCATTCTATCTATTGGCTACACCTACTAATTACAAAAAGTTTCCAAATTTCTGCTCTGGGAACAGAATTCTCCTCTAATTTGAGAAACTGAACTTTATAGGACAGACCAACTAGACTAATGAGCGATACTCAACTCTTTCAGCATTGTGGCAACTAGTTTTGGACTTCTGTGAATGCCTCTCTCCCCAACCTTGGTTTTGAGGGAGGGAGTTTTTGTTTTGTTTTGGATTTTTTCAGTGCCAGGCATCAACCCTAGGGCCTCACTCATGCTAGGCAAGCACTCTGCCTTTGTGCTATGCCCCCAAACCCTCTTTCTTCTTCCCTTTTGTTAAATTTGACTTTTATTTTGAAAAACTCAGAAAATATTTGCATAACCTTTCATTATTTGCCACTTCCAAAAGTACTATTAAACCAGCATTGAAAAGCACTAATATAAATGTAATACTTATTATTGGCCTTAATTACATCAATTTAAAAAGATTTATATACAGTTGTTACACAGTGATTAAGATTGGTTGGCTCACATATATTCTAAATTATTTTAATATTTGCTTGATTGCAGGAAATCTTCACCGAACAAGCAGTGTTCCTGAGTATGTCTACAACCTACACTTGGTTGAAAATGACTTTGTCGGAGGACGGTTCCCTGCCACTAAAACCTATGACATGCTAAAGGTAGGCCATCAAAGAACAGAACCCTCAACAGTAGACTGCCAGGAAAACATTCTAAGTTTCCCTTTCTTTCCTTTTTGTTTCTTTAAAAAAAACAAAAAAAAAAAAATTAACCTTTCTTGGTTAGAAGAAGTTTGAGAACATTGGTTTTGTGTGGACACAAAGAAACACTGGACACTAAACAGTATGAAATCCTAGTGAAATAAATGATTCAGGTCAACCATGCCTCCTGTTAAAAAAAAAGAGTTCACCAGCAAGGGGCAGCTTCTCCATCTGATTCAAAGGAACAGGCATCTTGTGCCTTGTGTCTTCCACAAAGGCAGAAGCTGGTCTTTGCCTCACTTGATTTTATTTTTCTCCTACAGGCTGGGACCACTGCCACATATGGCGGTCGCTGGGGGCGAGGAACGCTGCAGTACAGCTCACAGAAGTCAGTGGAGGAACGGCCCTTGCGGCAGCCGCTGCGGAGGCTGGAGATCTCCCCCGACAGCAGCCCTGAGAGGGTCCGCTACGTGCACAGCGAGCACCACTACAGCCAGAGGAGCCAGCTGGGCCTCCCTCGGCGGCCGCAGGACAGCCGGCGCTCCACACTGCTCACCACCCCCAGATACGCCCGCTCGGAAATCGCGGGCTTCACCCACGCAGGGGCTGTGAGCAGGCAGTGCCACTATGACACCTACCACAGACACCAGCAGTATGGGTCTGTCAGCGACAGCGTCTTTGACAATGTCACTCCTGCGGTGTTCACCTACCCCAGGCCGGGGACCAGTCACAGCATGGGCAACCTGCTGGAGAAAGAGAACTACCTGAGCACAGGGCCTGCCTCGGGGCAGGTGAGACCCCTGGTGCCCCTGCAGCCTGTCACTCAGAACAGGACTGGCAGGTCCTCCTGGCACCAGAGCTCCTTCCACAGCACCCGCACGCAGAGGGAAGCTGGGACCAGTGTCACTGTGGACGCTGGTGGCCGGAGGACGCACATGACCGTGGGCCAGGTGGCTGCAGTGGGCAGTGGAAATCTGCTCCGGGAGAGAAACGCTGTCACGGATCTGCAGCTTGGGTGAGTCTCCTCTCAAACGTGCTGCCAAGGCAGTGCCAACCCACTGTGTCTCTATAGCCCGATGGCCTGAGCTGTGTCTCAGAGGCTGGAAAGTCTTCCAGAGATGTGATAAAATACCGACTTGACAGGCAGCTGCCTAACTGACACCTCAGTCTGTTTAGCACAGGGACAGAACCGGGCTGCCTGTGCATGTGGTTGCCCCAGGCCCATCTTTTCCAGATCAGGTGCTAGGTAAAGGGATGAAAGCCCCTCAGCTCTGAAAGTCTGTTCAGAACAAGAGCAAATGCCAGAGTAGACCAAGAAACAGCTGTGGCATGTGCATTGCTATGTATCACCCTGGAAATGAAGGCAGAAACAGCAGAGAGGCTAACTCCTGGTGCTAAGGTGAACCAACCTCAGATGCTGTTTTGAAAATCATGACCACCAAGCAGTGGTGGGGAGCCCGTGACACACGTGCCACAGTGGGCTCTTTGTATCACTGAAAACCTTAAATTTTACATCACTACCATAGACGGGGTGAGCTGAGCAGAGGCAGCTGATTTCTACAAGTCTCTCCTTCCTTTGATACTTGACATCTTTACTTGTGGTTCCAGTGTTAGTGATTTGGAGAGTAATTTTTAGCAAAATTAAACAATCAAAACATTTGAATTCTCTAAGTCATCCTTTGCCTTTCCTATTTTCTTATGGCTTGGCTAATTTAATTTTGGGGACTCAGCCCTTTTTTCAAGTATGATGCTCAAGTACAAATCTGATGAACAGAGAAAGGTACTAAGAGAAAGGTCGAGAAATGGGCTGATAAGTCAGTAACTCCTGAAATAATGACCTAGGATGTTAGAGCAAAACATTAAACGTAAGATGGTTGTTCACTGTTAACGTTGCTTAATGGTAGCTCTCACCTTGCGTCAATCAGCCCTTCACACACCTGTTGATAAGGAGCATCTGGTGAGGAACAGCTTCCAAAAGGCACCTGAGTTTCATCTAATCTTGAAGCAGGCAATATATTTTCATAAGACTAATTGTAGTGTGACGCTCTAACAGTTTTTTCTTTTTCTTTTCCTTTGGGGGTGGTACTGAGGATTGAACCCAGAGCCTTCAAACCAAGCTACACTGTCACCTGCTTTTTCTTTCTTGCTTTCTTTCTTTTTATTTTTCTGTTTTTGAGATAAAGTGTCATTAAGTTACCCATGCTGGGCTCTAACTTTTGATTTTCTTGCCAAGGCTTCCCAGAGTACTGGGATTCTAGGTATGCATCGTCATCCCCCAGCTAACATTTCTCATGGAGATGAGGTCAAATCTTTGTCAGTATGAGCACACTTATGAAAAAGGAAACCACATCAAATAATTATGGAAGAAAAACTTAATAAAGGTTTAAAACCGATAATTCAAAATTTATTGGATAACTACTATCATTTAGATATAGTTTTAGCAAAAGAAAAACTCTAATCTTATGCCTTCCAACAACTGGGATGCCAGGGATATCTCCCTGATGGATGTCACCGAGACTCCCTGCCACATCCTTAGCCAGGACACATGCAGCCTTTATTGTAGCCATCATCTGACACATGACATCCTCTACCCTTGCATTCTGGGCACCTTCCTCTCCTGGCTTCCCACCAACTTCCTCGGTCATCCTGCAGTCTTCCCAGGCTGTTCCTCTTCTGCAGGCCAAAGCAGGCAGTGTCAGTCAACTTCTCTGCTGAGCTCAGTGTTCTTGGGGACCCAGACCCTCACATGTGTTTTCTTGATTTCCAGAGTTTGATTTTCAGCCCTGTCTTCCTCCTCAACTCCAACCCATATGTGTATTTAGCAATGTCTTGGACACCCCCAAACTTTGTATATCCTAGACCAAATTGATCTCTGTTCCTGTCCATCCTTTCCTGTATCTGCCCATTGCAAGCTTGAGAGTCACTGTCCTTCACCCGTACAATTCCACCCTGTACGTCTCAGGTCGTGCCTTTTCTTCTCTTCATGCCATAGGTCTCTGTTCCCTGGCCTTGCTCAAAATTGTGCTTCCGGGCTGTCAGAGCAAGCTTCCCAAATTGATCTTTCCTTTCCTCGATTTTTGTAACCTTCTTGTGATTGACTAAGTGTCCATGCTTGTTATTGTGGCAGACAAGACCTGTCATCTCTGTTTACACCTCCACTCCTCACTCTAGCTCTGTTCTCTCTACTCCTTGTCACTGCTGTCCCAAGCACTTGGACCACTCACTGCCCTCTTTGCTTCCCTCACTGCAAGATGCAGCATTTATCCCCCCACCCACTTCCCTTTCCTGTGTAGCTGTCCCCGACAACTCCAGCTCTTCCCACTTGGCCTCTCTGCTTCTGGCTCACCTGACTCTGTGTTTAGCTCAAGCATCACCGTTTTCCTGTCCTCAGCTGCACTGCACAACATCTCTATTGTGGTTACTCATTTACTCAGCTTTATCCCTAGACTTTGAGCTTCTCGCCTATATTTTATCTATTTTCATATTCTCAAAACCGCAGAATAGAGGTAGGTCCATGCTAGGCACTATATAAATGTATGATGAAAGAAGGAAATGGAGGCAAATATGAAATACAAATTCATATTACCATCTGGGTTTTTTTGGTTCTTATATTCTAGACATACTAACCACACTATTTCAGACTGTTGAATGGGCAAAGTAAGTTTTATTAGAATATTTAACCATGTTGCAAAGCATAGAAAGAACACCTGGGATCAAGACATTTTAAACAGTAAACAATCTTCCCGAAATGCCCCAAGTTTGAGAGGTAGAGATCATAAAAACTAATGCTTTTCTGTAATATCTGAAGAGAAAATTTGGGATTTGTTCTTTGTTTCTTATTTCCATTTTTTATTAGTGAATGTTTGTCGTTGCACAGTGATTACATTATTTGTGGGGTTTGGTATGTGTTCTTAATGCATCTTAACTCATTTTTTTACTCTTTCCCTCTTTTCTTTCCTCCATCTCTTGGCCTTAAGGTTTCTTGTTTTGTTTTGGCTTTTTGCATCTTTTTTCAATCAGAGTTTATTGGTACATTGTAGATATACGTAGTGATCACATTCATCGTAGAGAATTTGTACCTGTATATAAGTTGGGTTTTTTTCCCATTCCCCTACCCTCCCTTCAACCTCTCTTCCTCTCCCTATTTACAAAAGCTTTGTTTCCATGTTTTCCTTTTTTTTTTTTTCATTTTTCCCTTCCTTCCTTTTCCTCTTCCCATCTGAATATTTTCTTCCTATTGGTCGTATGGTTTCTGAAGTTAAAATTTTGCATTCTATAAAGGGGTGCCAAAGGAATGGGCCACAGTGAGGAAAATACAGGACACTTACCTGGGGTACGCACGTGCTGCCTGACTGTCCCTTTCCTTCCTTGCAAGCGCCTGGTTCACACACACCTCCAGGCTGCTTGGGAAACACCCGCCTTGTGGCCACACTGTATCCCCACCCCTTGTTGTCACCCATTTCAGACTACAGTGGCCCCTTGACTTGTGGACTCTATTCATTCCCAAAGCTTAGTTATACCTCACCTTGTCCATTGAAGGCTCAGGCTCCTCTACGCAGCCTTCAAAGTCTCTCTCCTGTACAGGCCTGTCTCAGTGGCCTTAGACACAGGCCCAGGATTTCTCAATGAACCCCATACAGGAAAGGATGTTGTAATGTTCCTTCTAGAACACTTTAAGGGTTAAATCTGTATCTGAGACCATCTGGAAGCATAAGTGGCCGGCATTCAGATCACAGCTCAAGACTTTGGTCATAAGTTAAAATTAGGATTCCAGTCATACCCCAAGTTGTTTCTATGTCAGGCCGGTTATAACTCGAGGGTCCACTGATCTGGCTGTTTTGTGGACTCAGTTTTTTTATGATAGCACAATTCTCTCGTGTTCCTTAGGAGGTGTTCTTCCCAGATATGTCACATTCTGTGGAATCGCTAGAGTGTAAACCTACAGGAAAAGAGGAGGTATCACACAATGAATCTTTCCAAAAGATGGACCAGGCAGAGAGCTGAAACCATGTGTAAAAGAGAGAGACCATCACTGCCTGTTCTAAATCTCTGATGAGCCCAGCATGGGGTCACACACCTGTAATTCCAGCACTCTGGGAGGCTGAAAAGCAGGAAGATTATAAAGTCAGTCCAATCAGTAACCTAGTGAGACCATGGCTCAAAGTAGAAAAAGCAGGACACATAGCTTAGTGTTAAGGCCCTGGTTCAATCTCCAGTACTGAGAGCACTTGGGGAGTCAGAGGTGTACCTCTTGGGAGATGGGAGGCTCAGCAAATAGACAGTAGCTTCTTCCAGTGCACCAAGCACTCCCAGAAGCGCCACAGAGATAAAAATTGAGTGGCATACAAGAAGGTTGAGGAGAGGCTCTGAGAAAAGGGAAGTGATTAGCGCTTCATGGAATACTCTGGTGTCTGTGGCTTTCTGGGGACAGCTGAGGGAGACCAAGGAGCAACAGGTTTTCAGCAGGCCTACCACACAAGTTGTGACCTGGAGTGGGACAGAGCAGAGCAGAGTGTGGTTCATACTGCCTTTCCTCCCCACCTTTTTTCAAACAGAAAAAACCAGAGATTTAAAAAGAAACAAAAACATATACAAGACAGTCTGCAAGGGAAAAGGAAGAACAAAGGTCAACAGGCCAAAAACTTACATACCTTATTTTGGTGGCAGTGGTCCTGGAGGTTAAACCCTGAGACCTTCACAAGAGCTACATCCCTAGACCCATTTTATTTTTGAAGTAGGATCTTGTTGAATTGTCCAGGCTGGTCTCGGACTCCCAGTAGTTCTGCTTCAGCCTCCTGAGTGCAAGGATAGTATGCACCACTACATCTGTTAACACTAAGAATGATAAGCTCTGCAGATGTGAAAAGACAGAGGGGCTTAGGCAAAGAGCAGGAAATATACAGGGAGACTCCCACAGTGTTACTTTAAGAGGTTTCTTCATGCAGGTGAGGTCAATCTCACTGCTGGTCTCTGCTGCTAAGTGTATTCTCTGCCTGGTACAGGGAAGGCACCTTT